TGTATTACGTGGAAAATGCAAAGTCGCATTATTTGTAGATATATTTCGTCCTCAGACATTCACTTAAGACATTCTCGGCAGAGGATTGTGTGGTCACTCCAGGAGCAGCGGGACGTTTAACTCAGAGAAAGAGCAGCCACCAGCCGCTCAAAGAGCTTTATACGCACCGCCTTCTGTGATTTACCTTCATTGAACAGCTTATAAAGAGTCTGACACAGGCCGTTTTAAACCACAAACACCCTCTTACCCACACCACACCGAACTGCCGATTACTACCCCCTTTTATTACGTTTTATGGAGGAGGATTCCGCCGTTCATCAGGACGGCATAGATGGGCGGACTGGACTAAAAATCAGCCGGGAGCTCACCCTGCCCAGCCGACGTAAACTGTCAACGGGGGGGGGGGGGGGGTGCAGTCGCCACTGCCTCTGTGTCTGTGTTCTGAGTGTTTGTTTTCCTAAAAAAGCTGCGGGGGAAGCAGGTACATCTGGCGGGTGTCACCGGACATCTAATTCATAGATCAAAGCAGACTGGTACCAAAACTCTCACTGTTCGGTTGGCCAACCGGTGCTTAAACCAATAGCTCTACACCCCTGGCGAAAATGTCCATAAAATTAAGTCGACTTCACAAATATAGTCTATCTCAAAATAATGTATGCTCTGTCATTTCCCACGTAAACATAACAGTCTGTAATGAAATGGTTGTCCTTAATGTGTGTTCCACAATTCCTCCTTGGTGCATCGGCAACTTCTCTCAAAAAAATTAAAGTCCAGGAAAACCGGATTCGTTTCTCCACAGTGGCGCAAGAGAAACGAATCCGTTTTCCTGACTTTATTTTTTTTCTCTCTCCATTTTTTTTTTTTTTCTATGTCCCTTTAGGGGCTCCGTATAATCTCACTTTTACACACCAAAATAACATTCACACAGAGTAAACGTTTGCTAATGGAGAGTCTATTTTGTCTAAAGAAAAAGTTCATGACTATCGATAAAAGATATATATCAATAAACCTATTGTTAATTTTTGCGGTATTCCCCACACATTGCCAGTACACTATTACTGTAATATTTACACTTACCCATGTCCAAATCAAGCGGCAAAATACGGAAGTGCCACACACTGCAGTTCATCTAGTGGCCAGTAGGAGCAGTCTGCAGAAGGGAGCACTTTCCATACCCCCATGTTAAAGGTCACATGTCATGCTTTTCCGGTTATTACCCGTCCCCTTGTGTGTTATGAAGGTTTTTCTGCATGTAAACGGTGTGCAGAGTCAAAACAAAGTCACCCTCAAATGTTACTTCATGTTAAGGCTAATAAAAATGACAAGTCTGTAATGCTAACTAACGTGCTAGCCACTAGCTAGGTAGCTAACTTGATCCAGCCACTCCTGGTCCTTTCATCAGACGGGAAGCGAAAGAACGAGCAAGACCCATTACTGGTATGATAACAACCTAAGCACAAAGGCATATTGTTAAAGTTATCTCATCTTAGCCAGCGCCATATAGATATATTATATCTATATGGCACTGATCTTAGCTATCTCTTAGTGGAGGAAAACAGTTATGACATCACTTACGCGACTGGGATTTGTAGTCTTTCTAGTTGCATATTTTTCATAGTCTTATATTCCAACAGTTTTACGACAAACTGTGACTTTTTTGACATGGAAATGATTTTTTAAGATTGACAAACATCATATGTGTAATTCATGGCACAATTCAAACGGGATCGAAAGATACGTTTTCTCTCTCCATTGACTTCAATACATTATTTTTCCGAAATAAGGTCCCATGGGTCGGAAGTAGATGGGCGGGACTTCGCCTCTCTATAAGATGCCAGGAGGCTGACAAAGAGCTGTGATTGGGACTCAAATACTTCCGTTTGGTTTCCTAGAAATCAGTTTTCTCGGGGCATTTTTAGTCTTTTATTCCTCTCTTCTACGCCTTCCACCTATGCCTCTCCCATGCCTCACCCTCCCACTCCCCTTTCCAGCTTCTGCTTGGCATTCCCCATCGGCCTTTAGCCCAGTTGGCGCCAGCTTTGATCTCCCTCGTCCGCTTTCGCCTCCTCCCTCCTTCCTCACCCCCTTTTTTTTTACTCTCTTATCCTCTCCCTCGGTCTCAAAGCTCCGGCTCTGACCAGGGGAACGGAAAAGACTAAGTGGGATTTCTCTGGATGAAGTGAGAGTTAAGTGGAATGGCTTTACACCTTCCCAGTTTGGGTTAGGAATCCAGAAAAAGACGGGGAGGATTTGATTTAATCCAGCTTGAAACTGAACTGAGGATTTGGTTTTTCCCCTAAGTTTTTATTCTCTACTCTTTCAAGACTTACTTTATCCCCTGTGGTTTGTATAACTTTTCCTCTTACGGGTTTGGATCGGCAGCATACAAACCAGGCCAACAGGTGTCATTTATCTTTTCCCCATGCATAATAAACCTTTGGATTGTGGAGCTGTCGGCTTGTTGGAGCCACCTAATGGAGCGTGGAGAATTCAATCAGATGGATTTAAAAGAGGCTGACATTTAATGATCCCAAAGCCTGAACCACGCTGTGTGTGCACTTAGAAACATTTTCTCCAATCGGTGCCTCCTCAGCTTCAGGGAACTGTGCGTCATTTGTCTGCCTTTGATTATATATGCCAACACTTTCCAATGGAAGTTGAATGGGAAGATTGATATCACTCTACGTTAGGGTTATGCTGCATTCACATGATTGCTTTGCGATGAAAACAGCAATTTAAGTTTTTTATTGGGTTACCTCCCCTGCTAGCTTGCACCTAGTGGGGATTTTGCTCTTTCCATAGAAGCAAAGTCAATGCTGAGCTGTTTTACGATTATGATTATTATTTTGGTCAATAATTGTAATTGCCATTATTAAATGCGATTATTCATTGACTTTGAAAACATCCATTTATTGGAGAAAAAAATGTTGAACAGTATGTTTTTAACAGTTGATTACCCTGAACTTTAAGTATAATTCAACTGAAAAACCAAAAAAAAAAGTATTAAAAAAAAAAAAAAAGTATTAAAAAAAAATCGTTTTATTTCGATTATGTTGTTTTCGTAATCGTTGCAAGCCATAATCGTAATCGCGATTAAAATACGATTAATTGAGCCAGCCCTACTTTAGGGTAAGGCGTTAGTCTGTTCCTATTTGATACCTAAATGTGTGGTTTAGTAAGAGTGCCCAAAAGTCCCATTCTTCAGTGCTTCACTCTCAAAATGTACAAAACTTCTTAATTTCTAAGAACAGTTTGTGATTTCTAATATCATAGCAGGTGTGGTGTGTTATAACATTTAAATACTACACCTGTACTTACTGCCTCCAGCCTGTCAGTCTGTAACCAGGGCAGAGGAAACAGTGACACCTTTGCATTCGTTGTTCCAAATATCGCAGGGTGTGGTCTGTTGTAAAAAAGCACAACCAAACTAATGATCACATTCGGCTTCAACATTTGTCACCCATTGGTTTAATTTAGTCAGTAACCAACCATACTATCCGCAGAGACATTATTTAATCGTCTCAACTAATTCTAGCAATTCCCAATGTGTCTTTTATTTCTTTTTCAATAAACAGGGTTGTCATTTTTCATATCCAGTTGAGTAAACAGGGATAGGTTCCTGCACATTAGCTTAATCGTGTCTCTCGTGTATTCAAACCTTTAATTTGTTGCCTCATTAGGACTACATCTCCCCCTTCGCTTGGATGTGACTCTCTTCACTAACCCTCCTTCCCTCAGCACCCTCTCCATTGTCCCCTCCTCTCCTCCTCTCCTCCTCCCTCGCGCCATTCCACAAAAAGCGATGAGAATCAGTCTGAGTGCAGAAGCTTTGAGAGAGGAGAGAAAAGGTCTACCTTTCCTCAATGAGCTTCAAAGGGCCGTCACATCAGACGTTCCTCTCACACGTTCTCTGTCTCTACGCTCAGACACACTGCCTTTCCAAATCCGTCCTCTCTTTGAAAGGGTTTTCACTGCTGAATCACATTTTCTGCCGTGCACCGTCACTGCTAACGAACCCGATGAACCCTCCGTCTCCTCCCCCCTCCTCTCTCGCTCTGCCTCCGTCTCACTCTCTGCAATAACGCTGTCTAGTCTCAGGTGGCTCGTCTCTCTCTTAGCCCGACGCTAAAATGCAATCAATTCAGTCCTGTGTGTGTGTGTGTGTGTGTGTGTGTGTGTGTGTGTGTGTGTGTGTGTGTGTGTGTGTGTGTGTGTGTGTGTGTGTGAGTGTGTGTGTGTGAGATAGTGTGTGTGTGTGTCTGTGTGAGATAGTGTGTGTGTGTGTGTGTGTGTGTGTGTGTGTGTGTGTGTGTGTGTGTGTGTGAGATCTTTTCGCTGCCCTGCTTTGTCCTCCAGCGTCGCCCAATTTTCTAATGCTAATAAGGAAGCTCTTTTAAAGAGGCGTCTTTTATTCTGTGGCACAAAAGAGTTCATACACTGTTCAACTTGTGACCTTAATTGTCCATCAAATGGAGTGGCGCAGTAATGAGTCCTTAAACCCGGAAATTAGTAAGCCTTTTTAACATTTCCTGTTCCCTCGTCTCAAAGTCAGTTATGTGAATGTGTCTGAAATAAGATCTGTGGTTAACACAAGATGGAGAGATTTTCCCGTTTTGTTCCACGACATGAAATACAACAGTAAATACTAGGGATCGACCGATATGGCTTTTTCAAGGCCGATACCGATTATTAGTCATCAAGGAGACCGATAACCGATATTTGGAACCAATAATACATTTGTAGTAAAATCAGAAAATCTTG